AAAAAAATAATGAAGTTGAAGTTTTTTATGTAAATTAACTTAATTAGCATGTAACATTTTTTTTTTAACATAACACAGGAATAGTATAAAACTAAATTATACAAGTTGCTTTCTTGTGAAACCCAATTTTTTGAAAATTGATTGGCTTGAAAAGATAACAATTATCTCAATTTTTTTTTTTTTTAAATTCACGTACTTTTAGTTTTATAAACTACTATTATTTAACTCTCACTTTTTTTTTTAATGTGTATTGCTGATTGATCATGATATTACTTGCAATAAGGACATTCTATTACTTGCAATAAGGACATAAGACATTCTACACTCGGGTGAGAGCTTCACAACAATGGCTGCAGCAATTTTTTCTCTCTTAGTCTTCTGTGTCTCTCTACTCATATCGCCATCCTCTCCACGCCGATTTCCGGCCATCAGATCCTCCAAGCCGAGCGTCAGATCGATTTGACTTCGCAAATTGTATGAGTTTACATGTCATTGAAGGTCGAAAATATCGGTGACGATCCAGCTTCAAATGCTCTCCTAGCCTTCCCACCTTCACTGTTTGACCATCTTTCGTTGGTCAAAGCAGCTACAAATGTCGGGAAGAAGCGGAAGAAATCCTTTGTTCCTCTCGAAGTCAACCCGGCTGAGCAAAGTCAACCCGACTCACCAAACGGAACAAAATACTATACTATTCTATCTCATTGCTCAACTCGCTACCAAAGGGTGAAACCACCACTTTAGAAATTCTTTACGTCCTGACTCACTCTGTTGATCCCCTCCCGGTCGAAATAAGCCAATCAGAGTCCCAGTTGGTTTATTACCGTGATAGTGCCGTTATACTATCACCTTATAATGTAAAAAAGCAGGCAACTGTGGTTAAAACCCCCAGTAGTAAAGTTGAGTCCTTCACTCAAGTGGGGCTCGCTCACCAGAGTGGTAGTGAGCTTAGATACGGGCCATATGAGAATCGCGAGCCTTATTCGTACTCACCCATTATTGTTCGCTTTGAGAATAATCATCTGTTTGCTGTTGTTGAGGAGCTAGAGCGCGAGATTGAAATCTCTCACTGGGGAAGTGTCCAGGTGACAGAGCACTACAAGTTGGCTAACGTTGGAGCTAAGCATAAAGGATTCTCAAAGGCTTGATTACCAACCAAATCCCACTGCTGGTGGTGTCTCTTCTTTCAAGCACCTTTTTGCGGATCTACCCGCACGAGTTCATTCTGTATACTACAAGGATAATATTGGGAATATTTCATCACCGAGACTACGAGTAAATTCCAAGAAGTCGGAGCTGTTAATAGAACCTCGTTATCCTTTATTTGGAGACTGGAAATCGACTTTTGTGATTGGATATGGAGTGCCTCTGCAAGACTTCCATTTCGAGTCGGATGATGGTGCTCGTTACCTGAATTACACTTTTGGCTGCCCTCTTGCTGACACTGTAGTCGACAAATTGGCAATCAAAGTAGTCCTTCCAGAGGGATCAAAGGATCCTTCCATCAAAGTTCCTTTCCAGGTTGAGCAGAGTTTGGAGACAAAGTACTCGTACCTCGATGTGATTGGACAGCCTGTTGTGGTTCTGGAAAAGAACAATATGGTTCCTGAGCACAATGTTCCATTCCAGGTTCATTACAAGTTCAACCCAATATTTATGCTGGCAGAACCCTTGATGTTGACTTCTGCATTTTTTCTTTCCTTCATCACCTGTGTTGCATACCTTCACACAGATCTCTCATATCGGAAACAAAACGTTCTAACAATTTAACGAGACTTTGAAAGCTGGCTTGTTATACTTGGAAGTTGATGGGAATATGGACGACAAATTCCGTTTGCAGATTAGCTAAAACCGGAAAGAAACTACACACATTTACATTGTTGTTAGAGATTACATACTTTTCGACACGATCATTTATCATTCAGGGAAGAGGTTATTCTGAACTATTGTAGGTTTTTTCAACTTGTGGAAACATTTTGGCTACTGATTTAAATGTAAGACAACTTCATATTGTAGCTTTTGTGTTCAACAGACTTTTGCTCGATTCAAAAAAATACTCGAGTGAGAGCCGAGTATCATAACCATCTAGACTTCAACGGAAGTTGAATGGTCATCTGTACTTGTTTCTTTTCAGACTAACACATTATCAAATAAAAGCGATTCTATACAAGAATTCTCAACTCAAGACCATATATAAAAACATGTAAGATAAACATATTACTACCTCCTGTGATACATAATAAAATGGATGAATCAAAAAAGTCAAAACGACATTTATAATGAATAGGAGGGAGTATTAAATAAAAGCGATGAAGATAAACGTGTTTCTACCAAAAGACCTAAACAATAAATAAGAAAACTATGAAAGGGTAAAGACTAACTATGCAAGATAGAATTACGTCGAGACTCACCAACGAAAGGCCTCGGGACCATCACGAATATATATATAAGCATATATAATAATTAATATTATAATAATGAAAAAAGTAGGTGAAAGAAACGGAAAGTGGGACCAGAATCCTTCCATTGCTTGAAAACTCTCCAACTCGGTCGTCCCACAATCGTAAAGTAGAATCGTACCCTTGGAGTCGAGGAGAATCACTTTATCACTATTATTGCATAGGCCCGCAACCTCGGTGGCATCAGGATTCACCGGGACACGAACCGTGGACACGCGAGACCAACTACGGTCCTCGTGGCTCCACACCCAAATCTCGAACCACAAAGGATTATTAAGATTATTCACATTTTCATCATCCATAGGCCCAATATCCTTCCAACCAAGACAATCATTTTGTAAGATAACGGCAAGTGACCCGTGATAGTCCACAAGAACGGGCTTAATGGGCCCGGCCCGATTGCTCGCGACTTTCGGCATGTGAATGAGATCGGCCGGAAACTCTTGGCGGCCGAAATCAAACCGAAGGATAGCGTCGCGATTATCGTCCTTTGAATGCACGGACCAATAATAAAAGCCGTTTATGTGAACTGAACGCACGTTATCAACGACTATTTTGTCCGGATTGTGAGGGAACCGGATTTCCCTCCACATGCCGGTGGAGAGGGATAGGAGCTCGGCCCTCTTTTCTTTTGAAGCCCGGACCACCTTGTAGTCGCCGGAGCCGGAGTCGAACCCAACGCCCCAAAGGGTATAGGGAGAGTCATGAGATGAGGGCAGACGCGGTTTCATCGGGAATTGAGGAATGTGTCTGACCTCGTCGGTGGTGGGGTCCCACATGATGTCCGCCGGAGTTTTGGAACGTCGGCCGCCGGAGGCAAACACCAACCACTTGCCGCAGTAGGCAAGGAATTCTGTGCGTGTGCCTAGGCTATTATTCAGACGAGAGAAATTGGGGCGATTGAGTTGAACTGATTTGAGTAAGTTGTTTTCAATTGAGAGTAGGGATATCTTGTGGTGTTTTCTGTTTTTAATCCGCTGCACCAATAGAATGATATTTTCGTCGGCGGCGGAGGCGGAGGCGGAGGCGCTGTTGTTGATGTTGTTCTGCTCCAGATTGCGGCCGAGCGCCGGAGTGCCGAAACGACGGACGCCGGATGAAGGATCGCGATGTAAGATCCGAGTCATGGCTGTGAGCGGTGAGCTTGAACGGGGCTTTAATCCGGCAACGGCGGCGGCGGCCAATCTTCGTAGCGCCATGGTTTCTTGCAGAGGAGAAACGAATTCTGAAGTCCTTAATTAGCTCAACTCTTCAAGGTGAAGGCGTCCTTTTATGTTACTAATAATTTCCCATATTAATCCCAATAGACACACATACAAATCGGACTATTAAAGAGAAAATAAATATGTATAAACATACGTAATATTTTGTTTACATACTAGTAATTAAATTATATTAATAAATTAATAAGAGTAATTTTTTTAAGTAATATTATTGGCGTGTATTAAATCTTCCCTATATATAATCCTCCCTATATATCTGAATTCTCCCTATATAAGTCGATTTGATATTCATATCGTATATATGAAATAAATAAATTATATTTATCTTTATAATAATAAAAAATAATAATATTATTAAAATTTATTAGAAAAATAAAATTATTTCTCAATTGATATATTTATATTTAATGTACTTATATATTGTAAGTTAAAAAATTAGTATAATATAACACAAGTAAGTCGCACGAATAAAAAGTGTCATAATATATATATAATAATATATATTCTTATAAAAGGTATTTAAATTTTCAAACCACTTTTCTCATTAATTTTTGATTTTAACAAAAAAAATTAGCAAGCACTCGTGTAATACACGGGTGTTGTACTAGTGTCTCACAGTACACTAAAAACAAAGTAGTTGACTAGTTGTATTACATTTTTAAAGATTATAACAAATTTATTAAAAAAATAAAACGAAATAAAATATAAGAGTTGATTATTGCAAATATAAACAAACCTTTTTTTATAGTAAAAAATTAAATTGGCATTAAAATACTATTTATATTAATATAAGATAAATATTATTAGAAACGTGCTCAATAATATGACATGGGAAAACAATCCTTGACGTACCAAAAGATCACGGATTGTACTTAAATAAATTTCATTCGCGTTGACAAATTTTATCCTTAAATAAATTAATTAAAACACACTTGACGCCTCCAACTCAATTTTAATATTCACATACCAAAAAAAAAAATATTCACATACCAAACGATTGTATGTGTCCTATATATTAATTCAAAACGTGTTCAAACGCGGTGAGCTTGAATGACAGACTTACATGTTTCAGGATTTTATGTGGCAAAATTAAAATTATATGTTTCCTTGAGTTTCTTTTAGTTTACTTCTAATCCGAAAATAATTAGGTCTGGAATATCTATAAATATGTTGATTATTTATGGTCATGCAATATTTATTAATTGTATTTTAATATTATTTCTTATTATAACCATTGAATTGTAAATGTATTTTAAAAGTTAATAACTTTTGTATTTTTTATCAATTTTACACTTATAATATATCAAATTAATCATCTCTTGGTGAACTTCGATTTAACATCCATATGGTATGTATAAAAAAAATTATATTTATCTTTATAACAATAATAAAATTATTTTTTAATATTAATTGGAAAAATAAAATTATTTATCAACTAATATATTTATATATCAAGCAGTTATATGATATAAGTTATAAAAATTACTATAATATAACTCATGTAAGTCGCACGAGTAACAAGTGTCATTCTAAAATATATAATACTACATATTTTGGCAAAAAAGTAAATAAAATTTAAAATATTTTTTCTCATTAAATTTTAAAATTTAAGAAATTTTTTTAACAAGCACCCGTGTAATACAGGTGTTGTACTAGTAATAATTTATCTATAGCGACAAAATTACAAAGTTGATACACTAAGTTGGTCGTTGTCAACAAAAGAGACATTATGTTGTCACGCACGCTCAAGAGACACGAAGTTGGCATTTTGGTCAGAAACGACACACTAATCACCCCCCCTTGATAAAAATCCGACGTGGCGTGATTAAGTTATTACGTGGCATTTCATTTTTCGGGCTCTTCATGCGTGGAATTTTAGTGTATGCCACCGTGAACGGATGTACATTTTGGAGGGAAAATCGCACCACACCCAAAACAAAACATCACAGTTACTCGCTCCACTCCGCTCACTTCGCTCGGTCGCTCCGCTTCCCTCGCTACGTTCGCTCCGTTACGCTCGCAGGCATCAACCTGCCCTCTTCTTTTGTCAATATATGAGCCATACCAACAGAGTACTTATATATTTTATCAAGTAGAGACGCACGTTAAGGAGTCCGACAGTGAAAAAATGAAGTTCAACTCGGTAAAACCAAAACTCGATTCCTCTCATTTGCAGTCCTTTGCATGTGCATGCTAAACAAGATTAAAACATTTTAATATGTCATAAAAGAATTAATAAATAGGGGATAATTTTATACAATCCAAGTTTAGATGTATCTTCAAACTATGACAAAAAATAAAAAATAAAAAAATATTAGTTCTGTTTTAAGATATTCAGACCATGTCCCAATGGGCAGGCCAGGATTTTTGGGCCGATACCAACTATTAGGCCCATAATTACACACATAACTTCCCCAAAACAAACAAAAAGAAAACAAAAATTTCCGTTGCCGGGGCTCGAACCCGGGTCTCTCGGGTGAGAGCCGAGTATCCTAACCATCTAGACTACAACGGAAGTTTGATAATGACCCATAATCAAAATAATTTTCCGTGACTTACAATTGAAGGAAAGACGAAAGTAAAAAGTAACTAGAGCAAAAGACAATAAATCTAAATGTCATCCGAAACCATCCATAGAGAAATAAGCTTCAAGTAAATGCAATTATCCAAATATTACAAACTATATGAAATGAATTTAACAACCCATACAAACACAAATGTGAAGCAAATTTCACCATAAAAACGTAACAAACACACAATCCACATTGTTTGTCCCCTAAACAAAAGAAAAAATAAAAAATAAAAACATGGCTTTCACCACATCTTATCTTCTCCTAACTCTCTTACTCCCTCACCTCATCTCCACCATTTTCCGATCATCAAATGCATTCTCCTTAAATCTCATACATAGAGACAACCCAAACTCCCCTCTCTACCAACCCAATAATAACCTCACTCACCTCCAACACTTCTCGCACGACGCCAAAGCCACGGAAACTCGAGTTTCCGAGCTGAACTCGCTTTGTTTGCCTCTCCTCCTCCGCGCCCCTCTCTACACGCTCGACGTGCGAATTGGATCGCCCCCCGTGCAAACGACCCTCGTTTTCGACACGGCTGCACCACTAATATGGACACAATGCAAGCCGATTTGCGCCGCGTGCTTCAAGCAGAACCACCCGGTTTTCGACCGGACCAAATCCGCCACCTACAAGTGCTTAAACCGAAACCACACGCTCGCAGGATATTTCAACTGCACGGTCGTCGAGTGCTACTACTTTGTGAGCGGTCGTGGCGGGTCGGGCTTGTCCTCGTCCGGGCTTGTCTCC